ATATTACACGCAAATCTAAAACTTTTCCTTATTTTTTAACCACACATTTCTCATGATTTGACATGAATAATGCATTTTCTTCCTAAAATGTGGCTCAAACATGGGCTTTAGATAGTCATTGGTCCTCTATAATGACCACTTTTTTTTATTTCAGTCAAACTTTGCAACCCTGGACGAGAAAACTGGAGTAGTTGTTAGCAGGAGGGCTGATAGGCACTTTGAAGAGGAAGGGCCCATTCTCTGTGCAGCATTGGATGGAATGAAGCTGCCATCTTTTCCTGAGTATGAAGTTAGAGTCAGGTACTTACAGTTGCTATATCTTTTGCTTGTTGGCTGATGTATGCAACTGCAGAAACTATTTATGGAGTTTAGGCCTCCAAAACCATTAATTGTTTTGGGAGGGTTAAATTAATTAAATTTTATTTTTTTATATGTTATTGATAGCATACACCGTATTTTTACCATGTTGCTAGTTGCTTTTGTTCTCTGTCTAAGTTAAACTTTTGAATTCTTATATTGCCCTTATAATTTAGTGCACTATATGAATTGTTTTGTTTAGATACGCAACAGAGCATAGATGTGGAGTGGTTGTGAAAGGACCAAAATTAAGTGGAAATATATCAGGAACAGATCCACTGAAGGATAATCGCTTACTTCTTCAAGCTGAAGCCCTTGATGATTCTGATGAAGCAAAGCAAACGGCTGCAGTTGTAAATGAATTGTCAAAAGAGATTTCTCGCATTTTAGTTTCTCATCCATTAAATGCAAAAAGGGCAGCAGAAGGAAAGAACATTGCGAATGTTGTCCTTCTACGAGGCTGTGGTATTCGAATTGAGGTAAATTTTTGTAATGCTTAGTAATTTCTCTCTTTATCTGCAGAATATTCATATAGGCACTCAATTTTCATCTTTATTATGTAATGGAATGTGTATTTCTTTGATACTATGCTGTGGTAAATTAAATTCTTTTGAATTTCTGAATTTTCATGGATTACAGGTTCCTCAATTTGAAAAGATACATGGGCTGCGACCATGCATGGTGGCTCCCACCAAAATTATAGCTGGCTTGGGTTTGTCTCTGGGTATTGATATTCTAGAAGCTCCAGGAGCCACGGGAGACTACAGAACTCTATTAACTTCAAAAGCAACTGCCATAGCCAAGGCACTTTCAGCTCCTCTGCAATCTTGCCCCAGTGTTTTTGTACCTGGGGAGGATGAACACAAACCTGGTCGTGCAGATGGCTATGATTTTGGGTTCCTTCACATCAAGGTGTTGATCTCTGTGTGTGTGTGT